TGCAGCATCGCCTTGTGGTGCAAACGTGGGCCTGTTAATCTGTGACGTGACGCACAACAGCCAAGTAAAACAGAAGTGTGGCTAAGAATTTAGTAATTTAAAAAAAGTCTTTTAGATACAGTAGTAGGTATTAAAAAGTTTTGTGTTTAAATGGGTTTGCCTTTAACAGTTAAAAATTATATCGTAAAGTGTAACTTTCCGTAAGAATTCTTTATCTGTCATTGATCATGATCTGTCATCATGTTAACCTGATGTTTTGTATGTTATTTTGTTTTTTTCGAGGTTTTTTGCTTGCTTGTTTTACGGATGGGTGCGATCGCATAATTATTATTGATAATGTTTTATTTAATGTTAACACTATTACTTTTTCAGTGAATCTTTAAATCAGTTGTTTTTTGTTAAGTTCGTTATTTAAACATATGTATGTAATACACTCATATTAACACTGATCATATTTTTACGTTTTTATTCATCATTTTCAATGCCCCCCCGGTTGCATCTTTGTAAAGGACTGTGATTTTTTTCTTATAAGAATACAGGCTCGGGGAAATTCCTCCCTGTTATCATATATTACCCTGAAATTTTTTCCAGACGACTCTTTAATTTGTCCCTGACACACCCAGGGTTCCTGTCCTAGTCCAGAAACCGTGGGTGTATCATTACATGTTGATTTTTCTGAAAGAGTCTAGTGATTGTGGCGGAAGACCCAGTGCATTACAAGATTTTGCATAATGCAGGTATATTTGGGATATCCCATGCATTAGGTTTCTGGGGTATGAAAGGATCCTGGATCTCCCTGTTGTAAAGAGGACAGGATATCTCCCATCCCTCCTGACAACAGATGTTCCTCCTCCGAGGAGTGGTCATCAACCCCCTCCGAGGATATACACCTTTCCACGGTTGGAATTTCAAGGGTGGAGTATAAAAAAATACAAAACAAAAAACTCGGAATATGCTTTAAAGTCAGTTGAATTAAATTGTCTTAATCAATTCACTTGACTCGTGTAAACGCACCTTTAGAATTTTCTTCTTTTAGTAATAATAATACATTCACATTACTCTCAACTTTTATACAATATCTATTTTTTTCCTTTATATGTATAATCCACACATACTATCAAATATCAAACCGTTTCATTTTAATTTCTTGAATAGGCATACTTGAGGTGCCCTTAATCTAGATAAATTTGATGACTGAATTTTTTCCTGTTAATAAAAAACTCAGCTGCTCCAATACAAAAAAATCGTATTGTTAATTCATCACGTGAAAAAATCATTTTTGAGATAATTAAAAAGGTTGTTCTAAAAAGGTTGTTAAAAAGTTGTTCTACTTTGCTGTATACTGGTATGACACTTTTAATAATAACCGCCTTCTATTGAAAGAGCGGAAGTCAAATCCTGTCTTATATTTTCAAAAAGACACAATTTTTTCATTAAATGCAGATTTAAGATATAGGAAGTGCTGAATAAAACATAAAGATTAAACAAAACTTCGTTCGATTATGATGCAAAATACAGAGTGATCCGTTTAAAATAGTGGAGAAAATGCAACACTAAGTTTTGACCCACCCTGTATATGTCAAACAAGATATTGATAGGTTGAATTTTAAAGAAGACAATATTATCCTGTACCGCCGACAAAAAAACTTCGAATTGAGAATTTTCAGAGGTCATTAAATGAAATTTTGAATGTAAATTTAGTTTTAAAACGGTCATATTTCAAAAACTACTCGGCATAGTATATGACATTACAGCATTTTTGGAATGGAATACTGTATATTTTTTTAACTGTGATGAATGGAAATTTAATAGCTAATCCACAGTGCTAAAGAAATATACAGTATTCTATTTAAAAATATAAAACTTTAATTTGAAACAACCTGTATGTTGACAGAAATATTTTCATTAAAAAAATTAAAATAAAAATCACACACCAAAATCCTAATATAGCTTTTTCAGAAGCCTGGATCATCCTGTATGTCATAATGCTCGTGTTTCTAAAACCAGAAATTATATATTAATAATATGAAATATTATAAAGGGTATTATTTAATAATAATGTGGTCTTGACGAACCAGTTCAAATTATCTACTAAAGTAATCTAATGTAAGGGTTATATGATTATTCCATGAGTACTATTATAAGTAGTAGTATTTTTTGTTTTATTTCAAAATCACTTGTTTTTTGTTATTCTATATTTAATTCCGGGTTTTACACTCATATTTTGGATATTTTGCTGTTTGTAAGTACTTGTTGACAAAGTATCAATCACGTCGTTAACACACATTTTAGGTGGGTACTAATTAATTATATCTAATGAATTGATACTCAATAAACAAAATAAAAACTGAGAGGTATTGATTAGTATTGACAGGCTTAATAAAAACTTAGATATACGGGTTTGCCCAATAAATCGGGTTATATTATTAATTATTGTTTTAATCCTTTCCCTCATATTTGTAATCCAAATTATCCAAATGAGTCAAATAAAAAACACACACACAAGAAAGGAAAACACAGAAAAAGAACCTGATAAAGATAAAATGAAAGCCACTGAAACTATTTCAAATACAATTATTTACCAAAAACTGAACGAAATGCAGAAAAGTCTAGAATGCCTCTCAGCAAAATTTGATGAAATGCAAAACGAAAATAAAGAACTGAAAGAGATACTGAAAACCCAAGATAAAGATAACAAAATGTTAAAAGAAAGACTAGAAGCCCTTGAAAAAATTGTTGAAAGTCAAGAGAGAGAAAAAATAGAAAACAATATAGTTATTAGTGGAGTAGATAAAATAGATCAAAATGAAAATACAAAAGAAGTTGTAACGAAAATATTACAACAAATGAGTTGTAACACAAGTACCATTGCAAATATACAAAACTGTTACCGAAAAAATTCAAATAACGAGAACAACCCAATCATAATCACACTAAACAACAAGCAATCAAAAATTAATATTTTGAAAGCACGAAAAGAAATTGGATCATTATAAACAAGAGAATGTCACATTAAAGGAAGGAACAACGATATATTCATAAACGAACACCTAACAACTTTAACAGGGAAAATATTTTACGCTACTATAACCCGACTTTCTAAACGTCGGCGACGTCGTTACAGACGTCCCGGGATAAACAAACGCGAGCCCTGGATCGTTCGCAGCAGAACGAAACGGCGTCCTGTGGGATAATTACGCACCCGAGCCCTGAATCGTGCGCAGTAGAACGAAACGGCGTCCTGTGGGATAGATACGCACGCGAGTCCTGGATCGTTCGCAGTAGCACGAAACGGCGTCCTGTGGGATAGATACGCACGCGAGCCCTGAATCGTTCGCAGTAGGACGAAACGGCGTCCTGTGGGATAGATACGCACGCGAGCCCTGAATCGTTCGCAGTAGGACGAAACGGAGTCCTGTGGGATAGGTACGCACGCGAGCCCTGAATCGTTCGCAGTAGGACGAAACGGAGTCCTGTGGGATAGGTACGCACGCGAGCCCTGGATCGTGCGCAGTAAAACGAAACGGCGTCCCGGTTAGTCGCCTGGATAAGCACAGTCCACAATCGCCCGGTCAGGACCACCTCGGGATGTCGGCGAGATCCCACGGCGCTCCTGATGAGAATACGGGAACTACAGAACCAGTCGCGGGATAGACGAGATCCTGCCTTAGTTCCAAGGATATTCGCGCCCGTATATTTGTTGTACTACCTTAACCGCTATCTGTCTCCCTTTTAATCAAAAGAAATCGGTCTTCGCGTCCACGGGATCCGGACAAAATGCCTCAACCTTGCACGTATTTTTACTTCTATAGTAGGACAGTTGACACCTTGAGCGGATACAAGTCTGGTTAAATTTTACGTACGCGCGTTTCGGACCAAGATGCCTCTACCTTGCACGTATTTTTACTTCTACAGTAGGACACGAGACACCTGGAGCGAAGATTTAACTATCTCTATCTCCCCTTATTCTATAACGCGTTAAGGCAGTAAAACAAACCGTATTAACAATAAAAAGAAAACGACCTACTCTCGATCACTTTGGCGGCTGGACTTACCTTCTTCAGAGCGGCAACGGCGGCTGGCAGCAGGGTACTTGGCAGGGCACTCCGGGCTCGAACTTCACTGTTCACGTGCGATCACACCACTGACTACCTGGCGCTCTCGCTGCCAGGGTATACTCAAACGACCCTCCCCTCCACTCGACCGGTACTGGTAGGGCCAGCTTCTCGGCTGCCGTACCGAACTATAGCGAGTAACGCCGATCAAAACTCTATTACAATATGGTCATTAAATATCTAACGCCTTTAATTCAACAGTAAGAACATTAATGAAGTTCATTACCATAATGAGTTAACAATAAAATCCATTGCCTAACCTTGTTTACAGAAAAGGTCCCTATTATTTAAAGTACAGTATACGGGTGTCCCAGAAATGAGCCCCAAAATTTATGAACTTCATTACACTCCCCTACTTCGGTTAAAAATATGAACATATATTTTTGTCAGCCACTATGCTGAAATGAAACTTCCTGTTAAAACAGCTTTTGTTTGACCAAAACTTAAGCTAACGCCCAGTATATCTCTTAAAGTCTAATAAAACAACAACAAATTCGAATGTTTATTCAGCCAAACTTAATCTAATAAAAACAAAACAAATTCGAATATTGTTTGTCAAAACTTAAACTAACGCCAGTATATCTCTTAAAGTCTAATAAAAACAACAACAAATTCAGAATGTTTATTGGGCCAAACTTAACCTAATACAACAACAATAAATTCGGATATTTACTGGGCAAGATTTCATCTAACAAAATAACAACAAATTCGAATGGTTACGGGGCAAACTTAATCTAAAACCTTGATATATCTGGGACCTGGTATCACTTTGATTATGCTTACAACTAAAAAGAAAACAACCATAAACTCGAATGTTTATTTGTCAAGTCTTAATCTAAACTTTTGTATCGTAATCATGATTAAGTTACTAAAATAAAACGACCGCAAAATCAAATGTTTATTTTCAAAATGCAAAACTTAACTAAATTACGCAATATCTTCGGTCTTCTTCAACTTGAAGATCTTCCTTCGGCGGTGTCTAGAGCTTCGACGTGTCGAGCTTGCTCCAACGGTGTTTGCGGCTTCGGTGAGTCCCTCGTTGTCCAGCGGTGTTGAAAGCTTCGGTGGGTCCCTCGTTGTCCAGCGGTGTTGAAAGCTTCGGTGGGTCCCTCGTTGTCCAGCGGTGTTGAAAGCTTCGGTGAGTCTCTCGTTGTCCAGCGGTGTTGAAAGCTTCGGTGAGTCTCTCGTTGTCCAGCGGCGTTGAAGGCTTCGGTGAGTCCCTCGTGGTCCAGCGGAGTTGAGAACTTCGGCGAGTCCCTCGTGTTCCAACGGCGTTGAACGATCCTGCAAATGGCTCAGTCATGGAGACCCGTACACCTATAACACAAATGAATTAGTTCAACTCTTCAGGCACGCAGGACAATTGGTCGCAATACATTTTCATATTTAAAAAAAACGACCAGCTGAGAGATATCTACTAAATTCCCTTAAACAAAACTTCTCTACCCTCTTTCTGTTTCCCTTTTTAATTTTAACTATCAAAAGATATAACTTGACACCCTTTTTTTTTTAAGAAAAACAAAACCCCTTAGAGAAAGTAAACAAGAAATGAAAACTTAGAATCTGATGAGTTGTAGACTGAGGACATGGTGACGACAGACTCCTGTTGCTGGACGTCCGACGTTGGTTTTCAGACGGGCCAGGACATCGGGCTTTTCTGCATGTCACTTCTCCACTTCTTCCCTGGCAACTTGTTGCTGTCTCCGCCTAGACTGGCTTCCAGACACATGGGAATGTGGGGGAGTTAACTAGCGTCAGTGTGGCTTGCAGATAGGTCCTGGCAGTGACTCATGAGTCATGAGTCGTTATAGTCTGAAAAATTCAAAATAACATCAGTTCTACAACTTCATCAGTCGGGACGGTTTTTTTTTTAGATACTGTTTAGATGCCTGTTGATCTTCCTCTTGACCAACATCCATCAGCCCAGGATTCGGAGTGATTTGAACGGGATGGTATACATCTACATTTGCAATCCTGTGATCGCACGCCGAGTGTTCCACATCTGGAACAGAACAAAAGAAATCTTCTTTGACATACACCACGTAGGTGTCCGGGTTTCCACATCGCCAACAAACATTCTTCTTTCACTGGAACTCGATCAGAGTTTTAAGCAATACATCTTTGAGTCAGAAAGCTTGTTAGTTTGACGTCTGCGGAACTCTTCTACAGGGCTTTGTAGACTCGTTTTATCGGAAGGCGACTGCCTTTAGAAACGGATGCTGACGTTGACCTTTCCTCAACTTCTCGGTTGTTTGTTCAACAGTTTTTCTTCTTGGTTCACTTGTAAACTTTCGGCGGAGCTTCGGATCAACTTAGCATTCAATCGGATCTGTCGGGTTCGTAAATCAATCTGGAAGTCATGTTTGCCCAGGAATATCCATACCAATAATCATATCCGAAACCTAAGTCTTTTTAGACTGTGGAAAACCTCATTCAGGGGACTGCTCTCCTACTTGGATTTTCATCCTAAATGCTGTGCTAATGGACTCTGTGGCACCATTAGCAAGTCTCGCTCTCCTTTACCGTGGGTTTGACAGGAATTGCCTTGGAAGTTTGGCACTGTTCTGTCAATTTCTTTCCAATATAGGAATGGGCAGCTCCAGTATCCAGGAGTGCCAAATAGTCGGTGTTCCGGTAGCGAATCTTCACAACAGGACGAATTTCTTGACGTATGATTTGTGGTAATTCTTCAACAATCTCCGTTGGTGAATAATGTTGTTCCTGGGATATTTCTGTGCGGTTTGGTTCCCGCTTTCTTGGGCTCACATGGACAATTCATAGAAAGAACACCTGTCTTTTTGCATCGGGAACAAAAGATTTTGGGCTCGGATGTGCACTGTCTGCGGAAGTGTCCTGTCTGTCCACATCTCCAACAGATTGCTTCTGAAGTCTGTTTTGCAGAGTTCGGCGCTTTATACGGATATCTTGAAACACGGGGAGTAACAGACACATATCTCTGTTTACTCTGAGACGGCGATTGGCTCTGGATAACCATCAGGTTGCTCCGGGCTCCAGCATGCTCATTTTCCAGCCTGTCTCGCCGAGGCGTATTATTCGGTCGGGGTTCGACATCGGACGGTGCATAAGTACGGGACGATCGCTGCAGTTCCTGATTAAGCAGTTCAAACTCCTTGGTTATTCTTGAGAACGATGAAATATCGTGAAAATCTCCTCTTCGGACATACTGACGAAATTCAGGTAACAAATTTCTGTACAACCACTGCAATTCTTGATTCAGAGATGCTGCCATGTCTGCGGATCAACGTTTGAAGATCAGTGATGTACGCCGTGACAGACTCGTTATGTCTTTGCACTCGACGACTTATCTTCGCCTCTAGGTTCACCTCCTCATAATTTACTGGATAATAAAAAATTTTAAATTCTCCAGTAAATTCTTCCCAGGTCCTGTAATTTACTCGGTTATTGCGGTACCAGAGCGCAGCTTCTCCTTGCAAAACTTCTGGCAAATGTGGCAATAAACGATCCGGATGTATATTCTGTGCTATACAAATTTCTTCCAGTCTCTCTAAGAATGTTACAGGGTCCGAGCGACCATTAAATGTCACCCCCATTTGTAAACTTGTATAGGATTAGTATTAAAACTATTTGACATACCTGGATTTATCGGCAGAGGGACGAGGCTGTGAAGTAAAGAGAATAGACCACCGGAGAAGGCACTACACGTCCAGCAATGTATCTACTCGAGGTTGCTGTCACTGTAGTTGTCACTGTCGTAGTGGTCAGGGGTGGCTGTAGAGCTCACTGTCGGTACAACAGCACTTCATTTCCAGGAAATCCAAAGGCTTTGTGTGACAGGCTGAGGACTCGCCTGTCCTTCTCTAATGAATCTCACTATTCTTCTTCGCATTTCCTCAACGGTCCCGGTACTATCCAATCCAAAACGCAACAGTTGTGCAGCCAGTTCAGACTTCTTCAGGGAATAAATCCACCCTGTCCTGAAATCAGATTCAGCACTCGTGCCAGACGGCGCCAGGTTCAAACCTGTATGCGACAGCGACGGTACGGCGTCGTTACCTTCAACGGAAGCACCGATCGACAAAAAATCTTCCTCAGTTTCCATATCGCTCTAGATTTCACTAGTCTTTTAACTCAGAAACACTGAGACTTTACTTGTCTCTAGAGGTACTTATGCTCGACGGTTGTTATTTTCTTTTCACCTCCCCTCACACTGTTTCAATAGCTTTCCTGCTTTTACTAGCTTTTACCCGGTTTTCCTGGTATTTTTGACGGTTTAATTTTCAAAACAATCAAGTCCCTGCTCGGGCGCCAATTTTGTAAGAGTCTCAATTTATTTTTCTTTGGTTCAGTGAAAAATAAATAGTCTTACTGGTACAGTAGAAAATTTAAATCTCTCGCGCGCCACCTCTGTTATTTATAGTGGAAGAGGTCCACGTTTCGCCAATACGGGTAGCTTTTATACAGTGGAGATACCAGGGGTGATGAAATGAAAAAAAAATAAAACACACAGTTAACTATAACATAACATTAAGGCTTTATTTAATTAATTAACTATATGCTAAATACCCCAGGAAGTTTCACGACTTTAAATTGTAATGAAAGTGAAAGAAAATTTATAATTAATGACTCGTAAAATAAAATTTACAACAATAATCGAGCACCTCTAGAGTTTTGACCGTATAATCTCGATATGCAACTCGCTGTCCGATTTAATCACGCGAATTCAAAGCGCGGTTTTGACATGACGTTCTAGTAAATAAAACGACGCGAGTTTCTAACCGGCGTCTAACTTAACGGCGTCCTAGTAAACACAGACATGTACGTACCGGAGCGATATACTATTTTATAACCCGACTTTCTAAACGTCGGCGACGTCGTTACAGACGTCCCGGGATAAACAAACGCGAGCCCTGGATCGTTCGCAGCAGAACGAAACGGCGTCCTGTGGGATAATTACGCACCCGAGCCCTGAATCGTGCGCAGTAGAACGAAACGGCGTCCTGTGGGATAGATACGCACGCGAGTCCTGGATCGTTCGCAGTAGCACGAAACGGCGTCCTATTGGGATAGATACGCACGCGAGCCCTGAATCGTTCGCAGTAGGACGAAACGGCGTCCTGTGGGATAGATACGCACGCGAGCCCTGAATCGTTCGCAGTAGGACGAAACGGAGTCCTGTGGGATAGGTACGCACGCGAGCCCTGAATCGTTCGCAGTAGGACGAAACGGAGTCCTGTGGGATAGGTACGCACGCGAGCCCTGGATCGTGCGCAGTAAAACGAAACGGCGTCCCGGTTAGTCGCCTGGATAAGCACAGTCCACACCGCCCGGTCAGGACCACCTCGGGATGTCGGCGAGATCCCACGGCGCTCCTGATGAGAATACGGGAACTACAGAACCAGTCGCGGGATAGACGAGATCCTGCCTTAGTTCCAAGGATATTCGCGCCCGTATATTTGTTGTACTACCTTAACCGCTATCTGTCTCCCTTTTAATCAAAAGAAATCGGTCTTCGCGTCCACGGGATCGGACAAAATGCCTCAACCTTGCATCGTTATTTTTACTTCTATAGTAGGACAGTTGACACCTTGAGCGGATACAAGTCTGGTTAAATTTTTACGTACGCGCGTTTCGGACCAAGATGCCTCTACCTTTGCACGTATTTTTACTTCTACAGTAGGACACGAGACACCTGGAGCGAATTTAACTATCTCTATCTCCCTTATTCTATAACGCGTTAAGGCAGTAAAACAAACCGTATTAACAATAAAAAGAAAACGACCTACTCGATCACTTTGGCGGCTGGACTTACCTTCTTCAGAGCGGCAACGGCGGCTGGCAGCAGGGTACTTGGCAGGGCACTCTGGGCTCGAACTTCACCGTTCACGTGCGATCACACCACTGACTACCTGGCGCTCGCTGCCAGGGGTATACTCAAACGACCCTCCCCTCCACTCGACCGGTACTGGTAGGGCCAGCTTCTCGGCTGCCGTACCGAACTATAGCGAGTAACGCCGATCAAAACTCTATTACAATATGGTCATTAAATATCTAACGCCTTTAATTCAACAGTAAGAACATTAATGAAGTTCATTACCATAATGAGTTAACAATAAAATCCATTGCCTAACCTTGTTTACAGAAAAGGTCCCTATTATTTAAGTACAGTATACGGGGTGTCCCAGAAATGAGCCCCAAAATTTATGAACTTCATTACACTCCCCCTACTTCGGTTAAAAATATATGAACATATATTTTTGTCAGCTATGCTGAAATGAAACTTCCTGTTAAAACAGCTTTTGTTTGACCAAAACTTAAGCTAACGCCCAGTATATCTCTTAAAGTCTAATAAAACAACAACAAATTCGAATGTTTATTCAGCCAAACTTAATCTAATAAAAGACAGCTAAAGAAAGAGAAGAAAATCAGATATACATGGATTCGAGACGGTAACGTATATATCAGGAAAACAGAAACAAGCGACAAAATAAAAATCAAACAGTTGGCAGATATCGAAAAATTAGACCAATAAATATAAAATAATAAAAACAAAAAATAACATAACAACGACCGCCATAGATGATAACATCATAATGCAAAAAACATAAGAAGCATTAGAAACAAGTTTGAAGAAATTGAAACCTTTCCCAAAAATAAAAATTATCCGAAATCATTGCACTCACAGAAACATGGTTATCACCAGAAGAAGAACACCTATATAACATTAATGGCTATAATGCAATATTTAGATCGCGCCAAACGAGAGGAGGTGGAATACTAATATATCTTAAACATGGAATAGAATATAAAGAAAAAATAAAAGCATCATAAATAAAATAGAAATAATAACAATCGAACTAGTACAAGAAAAAATAACAATCACCCTTATATATACGCCTCCTCATGTAGATTTTACGAAATTAGAAAACACTTTGATTAATAATAATTGTAAATAAGAAGAAAAGTCATATCATCATGGGAGATTTCAATATAAATATAATGGAAAAAAATACTCTGATTGACAACTACTACAACATATATCGAGAACGATCTTACAAAAATCTGAATAAAAAGAAAACATGCGCATACACTCGTTATAATGAACATTCTAACAACTCCATACTCTGATCATGTTATCATTAAATATTAAAGATAAGTCCATTAAAATGAACATTATCTCCACTAATATATCTGATCACAATTTAATTAATGTAACACTAGAATCAAAAATAACCAAAGGATCTACATATACACAATTTGAAATAATAAAACGAAATATTCAAAAAATAAAACAAAATGATCTCCGAACTCAAGACCGATAAAATTAAATCTTATGAAGAACTGTCAAAAACTATAGAAAAAATTATAGACCGAAATATAAACATTATTAGAATAAAAAGAAAAGATGATTGTCCATGGATAACTCAAAATATTATAAAAGAAATAAGAAAGAGAAATAAACTTTATAAGAAACACCGAAAATACCCAAATAACGAACTTCTAAAAATAAGATATATCGAACAAAAACAATATACATTAGCCCTTATAAAAATGACGAAAAAACAATATTTCAGAAGAAAATTTAATGAAAATAAAAATGACAGCAGAAAAACTTGGGAATTCATTAATAAGCAAATACACCCCAATAAAAATGTCAATACTATTAAAGAAATTACCAAAAATGATGGAATAAATAGTACTGATCCAAAAATTATAGCAAATGAATTAAATAACTATTTTACTACAGTAGGGAAAATGTTAGCTGAAGAACAAATATTAAAAAGCAAAGGAATACCTAAAACAACAACTACTAAGAAAACTTAGGACAAATGCTACATTAAACAAATAAAAGAAGAAGAAATGGAACAAATGATTAATGAACTAAAACGAAACAGAGCACCAATATACTCAAAGATAACAAGAAAACTTTAATACCAATACTCCTAAAACTAACAAATGACATATTAAATTCAGAAATATACCCACAATACCTAAAACAATCCACAATAATCCCTATATACAAAAAAGACAAAAAGAACGAAACACAAAATTACAGACCAATTACTTTATTATCAGCATTGAACAAAATACTAGAAAAATGTTTACATAATAGAATGTCAGAACACGCAACACAAAATAAAATAATAAATGCAGCACAATATGCTTTCCAGAGAAATTCAGGCACGAGCTCAGCTGTATATGACTTGATTGAAAACATAAAAAAATGCATAGAAAAGAAACACAGTATTTTTTGATATGAAAAAAGCATTCGATACTGTCAGTAAAGAAAAACTCTTGGAGAAACTCATTTCATATGGATTTGGTAATTACATCAACTTAGTAAAAAGTTATTTGAAAAAGAGACCCCAGAAAACAAAAGTCGGAGACATAGATAAGACAAAAGTAGTATAGCTCCATATGGCCTACCACAAGGCGGCAACTTGCCACCATTACTATACATTCTATGTACTAACGATTTATTTGAACAAAATTTTTTTGGTAGAATGTTTGCGTATGCTGACGATTTATGTATGGTGTATTCTGACAAGGATTACAATAATTTACAAGTGAACTTAAATAATGACCTGAAGAAATTTGAAATGTGGTGCTTCAACAAAACACTAACTATAAATGAATCCAAAACAGAATTTATAAGATTTAATACAAAAAAGCAAACAAAAGACTTAAATATAATTCTAAACGAGCAAAAAATAAAAGAAATATCTGAAGTCAATTACCTCGGCATTAAAATCCATAACAATTTAAAATGGGACACACATATAAATAGTTTAAAAAAAGAAAACGCCAGAACAATTGCCACACTCCTGAAACTTAAAAACATAATACCACCAAATATGAAGAAACCAATATATCATGCATTATTTTCATCAAGGAATATATATATTTAATTAATACTTGGAGTAATACAACAGAAAAAAACTTAAACATGCTACAAAGACAACAAAATAAAATACTAAAAATATTATTTAACCTAGATAAACTAACACCAACAGAAGAAGTATACCAAAAAACAAAAGAATTAAACATAAGACAATTAATAAAATATCATAATATATTACTTTTACACAAAATCAAATATAAATTAATAAAAACAAATATTTCTCTAAAAATTAACAAACACACACTTACGAAACTAGAAGAAAATCAGACATCAGAACAGCCAAGAGAATTAAAAAAAAACTTTCACAAAAACTAACAACAGAAACTAGCACAATATATAATATGTTACCAAAAGAATTAACACAATTAAATTATAAAAATTTTAAGAAAAAAATTAAAAACATGATATTTGAGAAGAGCGTATAAACGTAGACGACATAGACCAATTTATAAAAAAAAGAACAATGCCTTCGATAACACCTACCCAAGGAGAGTCTTAAAAGTCTTCAAACTGTTGCAGATGAAGAAGGACGCAACCAACAACTGCCACGAAGATAAAGATTAACAATATAATTGAATTGTATATATATTTTTTTAAACAGTTGTATATATTTTAATTAATAAACGGTTTATAAATAATTGTCTTTTTCTAATTTTTAAATAAATAATAAAGCCTGGAAGGTTTTAACTACCAAGCGAGTTATCCAATATAAAAAAAATAACAATATTCAGTTGCTATTTAATTAACTCCCGATTTATGCAGGGAGTACGTTCCTTGAAAAGACCGCTTATATTGAAACTACCCTTTTTATTATATGAACTGTATAGGGTGTCCCATTTTGGTTGAAATCATACGGTATCTCAGTTACTATAGTAAAGATAGGAGAATGCGGTTTGCACAAACTTGTCACATTTTTTGTGAAACGAAAGATGCTGTTAACAAAATTTTCATAGCCCTTTTCATTTCTGAGCTACAGGGTCTTTTCAAAAATTTTAAAATTTGGGAGAGCCCTTATATCTCCATTATTGTGGATGATATCGAGAAGGTGAAAACTGATTCTTGCAGAACTTTTTACGTAGAATACAGTGGCGTAGTCTATTTTTCTAAAAAAAAAGTATTTTTGAAAATATGAGAACTAAAGTTATGTTTTTCAAATAAAACACCCTGTATATTTATAAATCATATGATCCGTCTTGCTATGAACTTCTCAAAAATATATCACGCAATATTTATTTTCTCTATTTACTGCAATATTATTTGAAATATATTATTTTTTATTAGTAGGCCGTGATAAATAACAAAAAAGTCAAAATGGAATTTACTAAAATAGGCAAACACATATTAAAATTTTATTTGAGATTGATATATTTTACTTTTGACTTTTGAACTGTTACCACTGAATCTCTAAAGATATTTTTAATTTTTTAGAACGGAATTTATTAAAACGGGATGGGTTTGCAAATATCTAAAAGCTTGCATTATTAAAGCAGTTTTCAGGTGTTTGACATTGTTGTAGTTTCCACGATATATTTTATATTTCAAAATTCCTCAAAATCAAAAATCGAAAACGGACAAATCCTGGAATCAGGAGGCCATCATATGGGTCCATTGGTTGTAGGTATTCATTGATTTGAGGAATAATAATTTCACAATATTCTAAAATTTTCAAAGTTGTGAAGGGGAGCTCCATCTTGCTGAAAGTATATTTCCCGTAAATTAGCTAAAGGAATATCTAAAAGTTCCGGTACGATAGCTTCCAACATTTACAACTAGCGATAGAGAATTAAGTTTCCCTTAATATATAAAGAATTTATTAGCGGCACCCAAAATAAAACAAAAGACAGATAGCAGTATACTTTTAATATAATTCTTTAATTTCTTTTATTATCAATCATGGCCTACTAATAAATATGATATTTTAATAAAAACTCTTAAATATTGAGTTTATAGCAAGTCAGATCATATAATTTATAAATATACAAGGTGTTCCATTTAATAAA